TGAGCTTAATTGGCTTGGGCCTTTATTTTAGTATTGTGACTTAACTGGCTTGGGCTTATTTGACCAGAACCTTTATTTTTAGTAGGGATAATTTCACTTACCTCTCCTGAAATTAAGCGTAATTACAGGCGATACCCTTAACATTTCAAATATTACAGTAACCTCCCTCTAATGTGACTGAGGTCAGTTCCAATAGAAACCCCATGTTAAATGACTAAACTACCCTCGATTATTAAATTAATTTTATTAATAAAAAAACCTTTAACAAAGTACCCATTCTACCCCTACTTGAAAAAAATGGTGACGCAAAGGAAAAAAAAAAAAAAAAAAAACGAACTAGGGAACAAAATTTTCAATTTTCCCAGACCTGATCCCATCCATATGAGCCTTCAATCCAAGACCTGAACAACACAATTGTTGAATCCATTAGTCTGCCTACTTATTTATCTGTACTCTGAAACCCCAACACTTCCTCCATTTTCGTCACAACGGACCACCTCTGCATCACCATAGCCACTACTGATACCATCACATCTCACCTCATACACTTCTATCACCATAAAACGCATATATAGTTTTATACATATATGGTAATTGTGTGTGTGTGTATATATATATATATGTATATGCAATCTCAACAAAGGGAATCGGATTTAGACGAGATCTGTAAATGCAGAGATTACGGTGGTGCAAGTAACAACATTCCAATGAAGCATTTCATCAAACAACACATGTGCGTCATTCGAGAGTTAGACAAACATAAGATTGAATAACAGAACTAAAAAACCAAGCTTGTCGCAGTCCTCACCAACAAGTTACCGCCGCCACTGGTTCAACGACAGCGTCCACCGATGGTCGGTATCGCTGTTGAGATCATGCATCACCACCGCCGTTTCAGTTCGCTTCATCACCGGATCAGAGGTGTCTTGCGTCACCGGGCTCACTCTCTCTTTCTACATCCATTATGCTCACTGACCGTAGATCAGTCCTCCATTGTCACCGCCGTTTCGTTCCTCGCTGCTTGCTCGCCGTCGAGACTTCACGCCGGTAAGCATCGGTAAGTCGTTTCGTCATTTTTGTTTGCCATTCAAACCTCACCGCCGCCGCGTCACTGACATCCTTGCTCGCCGTCAACTGAGCACATTGTTGCTCATTGCTGGTGGGTTATTCATAGCTCGCTGACTTGGGTGATTATCCCATCAGTGACGGTCCAAGTGTGGATCCAAGAGATTAAACGGCTGTGATTGCAGCCCTCGACGAAGACCATTGATCTGAAATTGGCGATGGAGAGGGGAGCGAATTCCAAGCAGTCTTTCGGTGAGGTAGTGCCGGTGATCAAGCGCACCATACACTAGTGGGACGATGAACCACCATTCAAGGTCGGTCAAAGTTTAGAGAGAGAGAGGAATCAGAGAGAGTACAATTTTTTCCCCTTATTATTAGGTTAATTCGTAATTTTCAATTAAAAATGAGGGAATAAATGTCTTTGCAATCTTTGTAAGGGTAAATGTGATATTTCACCTTTAAAAAGGATGATATCAGCAAAAAACGATCCTTGACCGGCGTTGACTGTAATCAGAAGGGGCAAAGTGTTATGCCGGAGTAAATCTTGAGGGAGGTTACTGTAATATTTGAAACGTTAGGGGTACTGCCTATAATTACGCCTAATCTCAGGATAGGTAAGTGAAATTATCCCTTTTTAATATTGTGACTTAATTGACTTGGGCTTATTTGAATGGGCTAATATTAATAAATTATTATTATTATTATTATTTTTAGGGCTGGGTTAAAATTATCCATAGCACTCCTTCTGTGTCCCTTTATAATAGTCCAATTTCATATTTTATAGTTTTTAAGGCAACAATTTTTATCATACTTTATTACATTGGTAGAAGATACATTTCCAAATTTGCCCTTCCCTAAAAATTTGTTTTTTCATTTACCGCGGTTTTGAAAATTTATCACCAATCTGGACGGTCAACATATTTAAAAAATTTAAAAGTGCCTGCCCATCCTACTGGATTTATTTTACATGAAATATGACTGGACACGCACCTATTTCCACCTCTTAATTTAGGTTCTTTTGTGTGACTCCTAAGAACGTTTACAATAATCGAAAAATACTTAAACGTTGTGCCCCTACCAATGGATGGTCATTGAAGCTATCAATTTGTAGAGATATTGGAAGTTTCCGAGAAAGCTATGATTATCCATTAGTAGGGGGTATCACATACAAAATACCTCAAGGCAATTGTAGATTTTCTCACCACTCCCATGCCTCCCTTATCTTCTGTTATCGTTTTCATCTTCTTTCTCTAACTTGTGTCACTCAGTTTCAGCTTCAATTGCATTATTACCTTTACAAATTCGATCATCAACATCATCAATTATAAGTGGACTCATGAAGGGCCTCTTGGATCCAACTTCATCAAAAGGTCGTGATCGTTTTAGCTCTTTAATCACCTGAGTTAGTTGCTTCACGACTCTTAATTAAAATTTTAAAAAATGTAGTGAAATGTTAAGATAATTCAACCGTTGAATATTGAATAAGCCCTTACCCTGGAATTCGAATGAATGAAAGCAAAAAAATAAAACAATAATTTACTCTTCTCATATTTTTTGGTGAATGAGAGATTTGAATAGTCATATTCTCATGAGTTCATGACTTTATAAGAAGCATTTAATAAATATTATACTGAAGTATTAAAATGGCTATAATCTAGTGTACGTTAACTTCACTTGCAAGGTTGTTAGAAGAAAAAGAAAAAAAAAAACTAATTAAATACTCTTTATTTTGCTTTTGTAGTACGATCTACTTATTATTATTATTATTATTATTTATTATTTATTATTTATTTATATATATATATAGAAAATACAATAAGATTTTCGATCAGCAAGGTTATTACCTTATGTTAATTTTTTTGAGGGGAGTTCTGTTCAAGAATATAAAAAATTGAAGATAATTTTTTTAAATAAAATAATAAATATAAGAATTAAATTTTTTGTGACTTGTTTGACTCAGATTCTTTAATCTTCTAATTATATCTTTGCTTTCTAGATTACTATAGATGTGGGATTTGAATAAATAAGAAAAGCCGAATTATTTTATTTTCTTTTCAATTTAAAGCACAACAATATATATTGGGTATTTTAAAAATTGAGTGGGAATATCAAAGTGTGTGAGGGAGAATCATGAATCTGGTGGGCGGTAGAGTGTGAAAAGAGATGATTATCTTTTGGATCCAAAAAATAATAATGCAAGAATGTGGAGTGTAGTATTTTTATCAATTGAGAGTTAATATTTTAAATTTTTTTACAAGGGGGCTATTTTATAAATTTTAACAAAAAATATAGACAACAATACAAATAAGAAAAATTTCAGCGGGGTCATCGGTTCCCACTTGTCCTTAACTACGTCCGTGCCCGACTGTGTGTAAGATGGCCTTGGGTCCTCTGTATGCCATATGTGGATGCAACGCAATGCTTGATTGTTCGCGGGCTCTACTTCTTCTCAAAATGCAATCTTTGATGAATTCTAAAGGACCTCAACAGCCCTCCTGAACCTCCTCCCTGAGCTCATGAAATAAGCTCACTCCATTGAATGTCGAACATCGAATATCCATTGATAACGGTCACCTAGTTTCTCGTTATCAACGGCTATTTGAATATGTTTTGCTTCTATGAAGCTTGGTTAGGGCTAGACTTGACTAGTGTTGGGCCTGGTATTGTAAAAGGCTTTAATTTCTATTTGGTGGGCCAGTATTGTTTAGAATCTTGTTTCCATTTGTTGGGCTCATTGAACTTTGTTAGCCTTAAATATTGTGAGACCTCTTTGTAATTATCTTTTTATTCAATATAATTGCTTGATTCTCGAAAAACCTATTTCCTATTTTATATATCTTTCTTCTTCTTCTTCTTCTTCTTTTTTCTTTTTCTTTTTCTTTTTCTTTTTCTTTTTTTTCTTTTTTTATTATTTTATTTTAAAAATGCCCATGATTCTACTCTCTCTGGATGGTTGGATTGAAAAACTATATCTTGATTCAATTATTGATGGTACAGTACTTTCACGACAGAGCTTGCTTGTTTTTAAATAATACTAGAATAACTGATTACTAAGAAAATTATTTTAAGATAATTATAAAAGATAGGTTCTAAAAATAACTTATTTTTAAATAATTTTGTACAAATAATTTTCAAGAACTCAGAAAATAATTGTTTTAAGAGAGAGAGTTATATTTGAGTTTTTTGAAAACAGTATTTTTTTTTTTTTATATATTTTTTTTCTCCTGAATGGGATATATATATATATACAGTGACGGACCCAGAAAATTTGGTGAGGGGGGGCGAATTTTTAATTTGTGGGTACAAAATTATATGATGGGTTTATTTTTGTAATTTTAGTAGGGTTTTTTTCATAAATTTTAAAAAAATTTAAGTATAAAATGAAAAAAAAAAAAATCAGTGGGGCAAATTATAATTATAGTGGGGCATTTTCATAAATTATCAAAATTTGAAGTATAAAATGCTAAAAAAAAAAGAATCCAGTGGGGGCGAATTGTAATTTTAGGGGGGGCATTTTCATAAATTTTAAAAGCATTAGGGTATAAAATGAAAATATTAAAAATTCAGGGGGGGCATCTGCCCCCCCTAGTCCCCTGCTGGGTCCGTCCCTGTATATATATATATATATATATATATATATATATATATATATATATAAGAAATCAAAATATTACAATTACAGAAGAAGAAAAAACTTCAAAACAAAAACCTGAAATGGCAAAACCATTTCCAGCAAGCAACCTATACTCAAACTATTCCAATTCCAACTAGATTACTTGACTAACAAAAAAACAAATTTAAAAACATCCCTCAAAGCTCTCTGGACAATCAAAGATACCAAAGTTTGAAACTACAAATAGATTGCGTCTCAACCTCACCACACCTAAGATCTATCTACTGAGACCTGGTAGCTGGACCTGTACTAACAATCAACCTCAGCCTACACCATCTGGACTATCCAACACATCAGCAATACCAAGAGAAAATAAATTCAGCACCTCCCAGACAATACTATTGGCAACCACTGAAGCTGATTCCTTTATTCCACCATGCAAAACATTATTTCTTTCCATCCAAATCTTCCAAATAAACATACAAACAACTCCTTTTAACAGTTTGGTCTGACGACAATGAGTCATCTTCAGCAACCAATCCAACAGCAACTCTAACCCTTGAAATTGCACCAGATTCAATCTAGATAACACTAGTTGCCAAACCTGAACAGCATATGGACAAGTACAAAACAAATGGTCATTAGTGTCTTCCTCATTAAAACAGTTGTGATAGATGGCCGGCCCAGCAAAACCTCTCCTTTGTAAGTTAACACAAGACAAATTCCTATTATGCACAACAATGACAACCGAAATTGAGATCCTTGGTCTGCAGAATTTCCAGCAAATCCCCTTCCATCTGACTATTTGCCCTCTAGCCCTGCAAACACTCCAAGCATTTTTCAAACTAAACCTCCCATGAGCCCACAGAACTTCATCTTGACCAGTTTTGCTGACTATGTTTACCATAAAATCCTCAGCAACCACACCTGGGAAGTAAGGAGGGAAGGACCACACTCCATTCACAATAATTGTATTAAGCTTAGCTACCTTATCATAATTTCTGAATATAGTGGCCCAAAACCTCTGAATTAAGGACATTCCTGGACACCAAGGATCATATAGTATATTAAAACTACAGCCATTACCAACCCTAAACTATAAATTCTCTTGAATAAAATCCCTAGTTTCCAAATAGATGAATCCTACACCTTAGGTATCACAGTCCAAAAAGTGACATATTTTAAGTACCTAACATGCATCCACTTCACCCACAAGGCCTCCTTTTTCTTCACAAAATCCTAACAGATAACAACATTAGCTGCAAAATCAATATCAATAATGCGACGAAGATTAAAACCCCCTTCAGCAATAGGAAGTGTAACTTGAACCCATTTAATTTGAGACAGCTTCCTAGTATCCAATTTACCACTCCACAAAAATTGTTTAAACTTCCTCTCAAGGACAGTGATACAGCCCCATGGGATTTTGAAACTAAACACCCAATGATACAAAAAAGAATAAAGCACTAATCTGAGCAACTCTAACCTTCCAGTTAAAGACAAATTAAGGGTGTTCCAATGATCCAACCTAGCAGTAACCTTATCAAACAAACCCTTACAATCTGCACCCTTCAGAGCTTCATTAACCAATGGGATTGCAAAATATTTAACAGGAAAATTCTCAACTTTCATTTGAAGAACCTGGAGCAATCTTCTTTTACTTCTAACAGCTTTAGAAAAGATTACAGCACTTTTATCTTTATTCACAGCCAGACCTGAATACCTCTCCCAGATGTTAAATACCCAGCAGGTACCCCATTACACAACGCATAAAATTTTGAGGTTGACATTACCCAGTTAATCCACTTATCAGAAAATCCATAAAGCTGTATCATTTGTTGAAGAAACCTCTAATTCACTGTATCATAAGCCTTCTTAAGATCAACCTTTATTGCCATAGCAGGGCCACTACACTTTAAACCAAAATTTTTAATCAAGTTAGTCACCAGTAGTATATTATCATGAATTCTTTTCCCCTTTATAAAAGCAAACTGCTCTAAACCAACCAAATTTGGTAACACAATACTCAACCTATTAGCCAAAAATTTTGAAATTATCTTGTAGCATAGGTTACACAGGCAATAAGTCTGTAATTTTCCATCTTGTCCCCATGATTATTCTTTGGAATGAGAGTGAGGAATGTTGAATTGATCCCCATAGGCAGTGCAGCACCATTGAAAAAATAGACAATTGCTTTAGTGAGATCAGTGCCTACAATATGCCAAAATTTCTGAAAAAATCTGGCTAGGAATCCATCAGGTCCTGGGGATTTGTTTGGACTAAACCCTAAAACAACCCCCTTGATTTCATCTACTGTAACTTTACAATCCAACCCCTATCTATCATCGAATGAAATTTGATTTCTGGGTGGAGATAACTCAGTATCAACATTGGGAACAACTATATAAAGATCTTCATAATATTGAACAAGCCATTCTTTAATAACTTTAGGATCTACAGAACTCTCTCCCTCAGAATTTTGCAAGCAATTAATCGAATTAACCACATTATGAAAATAAAAGGCACACTTATCACCTTCTTTAAGCCACTTGACTCTGGACTTCTGTCTCCACATAATTTCTTCCAAATTCAAATTGGATTGTAACAGTAAGCTGGCTTCCCTTTCCTTAGATATCAAACTCTAATTCATGGGATCCTTAAGCGAGTCCAACTGAATTGAGTGAAGACCTTCAGTAGCAGATATCACCTGTTCTGAAACCTTTCGTTTATTCTCATTCCACTATTTGACTTCTGCTTTGGCAGTTCTCAATTTCTTCTGTAGTTACTGCAAAGGATTTCCACCAACTGGTTCTTCCCACACTCTCAAAACCATCTCCTCAACCTCTTGCTGAAGACACCAAATTTTAAAAAATTTAATAGGTTTTGGGCCTATAGCACAGTCCATGTGCCAGTTTACTGCCATTCCATAATGGTCTGACAGAGAAGCTGCTATAAAATGGACCCTAGAGTCTGTATATTTGTGTAACCAATCCTTATTCACAAGCACCCTATCAAGCTTAACATTAATTCTCCTGTGAATGTCTTGCTTATTAGTCCAGGACCACCCTCCATTATTAACAGGTAATTCTTCCATATGTAGGTCTTTAATAACTTGATTGAATTCATCAAGAAGAGACTGAGGTACTCTCAATTCCCCAACCTTTTCACTATGAAATCTAGAAATATTCCAATCTCTTATAGCTAACCATGGACTATCAATCACATTTATTTGATCCTTCAGATTCAGCCAAAGTTCCTTTTTTCAAAAACATTATTTGTAGCATATATGACAGAGTCAAAAACAACATGACCTGTATGAATATGCTTCACCTTTAATAATAACACTTGCACCTCTTCCAAAATTAATTGCACTTCAAACACACCAGGGTCCCAAGCCACCAAATCTTTCCCAAAGGATGAGAAGCATAATTAGACAACCATTTCCGTCTAGAGCTGATTTTCTTCTGAATCTTATTTGTTTTCCCTTGTCTCACTCTAGTCTCAACCAACCCAACCAATGAAAACTTATTTTCTCTTATCCAGGATTTAACAACTTCCTGTATAGAAGGTCTGTTTAGACCTCTAACATTCCAAGCCCCAATCATTAAGAAAATAATAAAGGTGGAATAACACCACCCACCTGTTTACCTCTAGTGACCCTATCAAAAGAAGGGTTCTGTAGTTTCTTCTTGACTTTACTCCCATGCTGTGATTTAACAAACCCTACGGAAGCTACACCTAGCTCACTCCATCCTCTTCCTGTTTAGCAGTTCTCTCAATAGCAATACTTTCAGCTTCAATAACACATAATTGTATAGGACCAGTATCTTTTTTATCTTGTGGTCTTGAGGAAACTTCAACCTGCAATATGGGGGTCTCTTCTATCAATTTTCTGCTTTGGCTTTGTCTGTAGAACTCTTTGAGGACAGTTACCTGAAACATGAGCAATTTTCTGACATAATGTACTGGTGTTGTTTTTACTGGCATTAGAATGATTCCTTGCAGAATAGTGCTATAAAAAGGGATGTCAAATCCACAGGGAGGAGATTTATATTTAGTCTTTAACTTTGTTCTATGGTTTATAGGTAACTTGGTTGGAAAGTTTGTTAGTTGTCACGGTTTAACAAACTAAAATTAAAAGTAAAGTATCAAATAAAAGCAAAGTAAATAAATTGAGTGATCAGAGAGAGAGGAATCTTAGGGCTTTGACTTCACCACAACCATCATATTATGGTTAATTATACTAACTCTGGGAATTTAATAATGAGATTTTCCAAAGGAATTGAACTTAATAACATTCGTTCAATTCGGGTTTTAAAGAAAGATGTTTTACAAAATTAGCTAACTATAACCTATCTACGGTTAGCGTGGATTATCCACCTACCTATTTTAACTACTTTAACTATGTTACAAAAAATCCACCTTTCCTAAGCATAGACTATGAAAAATTCTTTTGCAAAATACATTGGAATACCATTATATGACCTCTATTCTTGTATCCGGCAGGGCTCCGCCAGATAATGTACAACAAGGTAGGTTGAGAATAGAAAATAAACTATCACATCTAAGACAGGGTAGTAACAGTTTATAATCTATTAAAGCTTAAAAACCACTTGAGTTGTCTCAAGTGCTCATAATCATATAATCAAGAAAATACATATATTAAAATTAATCCCAGAGTTAAAACAATTAAACCATAGTATTTAAGTTGGGTTACATCAGTGCCCTAAGAGAGGAATTAGCTACTCATGACAAGGTTGGATATCATCTGTGTTGAGTTCACCTCCTTTGTCACGGACGACACTTCTCTTCTCAGGATCTTCACTCTTAAGGTTGTAGAAACCTTAAAAGCCACCACACCTTCTGCCTTCTGAAAACACTGACAAAGAGATTGAAAATACGGACCCCTTTTATCAAGGCTTACGCCTTCTTTTATAGAAGAAAATAATATTTGGCGGGCTTTTAGGTCTTCTGGCCCAACTGGGATAAGATATGGCTGATAAAGAAAGCAATCCCGTACTTTAAATATGGCATGTCATGGAAGGCTCGAGCTTCAAAAACACAGTACTCAAGCTTTAAGGTGCAGGCTCGAGCTTCAGGAACAAGGCTCGAGCCTCTCTAAATGGATGCTTGAGCTTCAGTGAATGGTGCTTAATCTTCTCATTGACACTTAGCCAATTTTCTTTAACTATTTTCCGAAGCGTCTTTTTCTTCAACACTTAGAATATTTCTGGCACTGAATTCTTTGCTAGATCAAAGCTCTTTGGGCTCGAGCACTAGGTACAAGGCTCGAGCATTTGGGGCACCAGGCTCGAGGTTCAAGACACCAGGCTCGAGCTTCAGTTGTTAGTGCTCGATCCTGGAAGTGAGGCATGAGACCTGGGAGCATAGCCTTGTAATTAAATCAACTCTTCAACTTCCGACCCCTCATGCTCGAGCTTGAGGGTCAAGGCTCGAGCACCCTTGGTTAAAGCTCGAGCACCTTATGGTAAGGCTCGAGCTTTTCAGCCTTGTTGACTTTTCTTCTTTCTTTGTTATGTGATGCTCGAGCCTCAACACTTGGGCTCGAGCTCTAAGGCTTGAATATCTTCAAACTTCACCATTTTAACTCTCAGCTTGCTCTGAATAACCCGTAACGACTCTGTAAGCTTTGATATCATCATAAAGTCTCAATTTTAACTTCTCATGTCAGTGCCTTAGTGCACATCAAGCTAATTCAAGCCTGTTTTCAAATCATATTATCCCTGTAGTTCATTAATCAGTTAAATACAGCAAGTATACCAATCATGTAATTAGAACCACTTTCCACTTTCAATTTCAGTTAAGCAACCATAGTCCTCACATGTCAGTTTAATCATTTTTTCAGCAATCTTAATCTCTAAAATACTTTTGATAGTGATCCTACAATTCAACTTGTGGCTTACCGTCTGTACTTGCATTCATTCCTTGTTATTCCTCAATTCACGGGCAAACTTTTCAAATTTCAACTCCCAAGGCATTTTATTTTTCTTCATAGGTATATATTTTTTCAAAAAGGAT